CTACTGGCTATTAAACTGGGATAGAGACGAGCAAAGGGGTGTTAGTCAGTAATAAGCTGCTATCGGATAGTTTGCAGCTAAAAAGGGACAGAACGGCAAAAAAAAGGGAATGGAGACCAAGATCTGTTAATTACCAATTGCAGAGTTTCTGTGCAGCAACTGCATGAAATTTAACTGATTGGTTACGGGTTTGGAAATAAAGAAGTACATTGGCTGTTAATGCAAAATTTAATCGGTTTTGGGGGGAAAAATTCGAATTTCAGGGTTGCGGTGATCTGCAGTCAAAGAGATAAGCAAATCTTTCAGTTGATATGATTGGCAATTGTGGACTTCCGTGTATTATTACATTATCTATTACCTTTTTGTGAATCTTCATTAAATTTTGAATGCTGTTTCATTTTAGACCCTTCTGGATGCGCGGGAAGCGATGTCGCGGTATCAGCCGCTGCTGACGGATGCTAATCAAATGAGCTATCGCAATACTGTTGTCGTTCGTAGCCGTACCGGCACTTGGTGGTTGGGATACATTCAGGATATCGACGGCGATTATGCTTTCATCCACTTCAACTCAAAAATTATGGAAGCTCGCTGGATGCAAATGAGCGATGTCTGGCCGCTGCCATCGTACTGGGACACAGAATTTTCTTCCACGAAAGGTTACCAAAACGTCCAGATATTTGCGGCACTGTGTGATGAAGATAATGGACCTTTCTGTTTCCGACCAGCCGTTATTCTAAACAGGCTTGAGGGTTGTGACGCGGGTTGTTGGATGTTTTACATCAAAATCGACATGTTTAACACAAGCGTCCCTGCACATAAAGTTCGTTTTGAAATGGTCCACGAAGACCAAGTTGCAACTGAGCTGCCACCTACTGGTCCATCCTTGCTCGACCGCCGCAAACGTTTGCAGTATACCAAACACTTCATCCCCTTTGACCAAGCCAAAGCCGTTTTAACCGAGCCTTCCGATAAATTTCGTATTATCAAACATGCTCACTACGCCCTCCAAGGCAGAATGATGTTAACACGTGAATATCTCAGCAACTGGTGCCGATTTCATCTGCGCATCGAACAGGAGGGATGCATGTTTGTCATTGTTGGGCTGGCAACCGACGCGGAAACGACTCATCATGTACATCCCATGCCTTCGACTTTGTTGAAAATTTTGGAAACTCATTTAGCCAAGCGGGCCGAACTACCGTCTATCGACAAGCGAACACTTCACGCAAGTGAAAATGTCCCTTGTTACACCGGTTAGCAGAATGTCGTAATACTTATGTACTATATATAGATATGCTATGTGTATCTTTACGAGTACTTCTACACCTGTTATTTGAATGGTTGTTCTGCCATTTTGCAGCAAAAACCGAAGTATAAGTACTGCATAATTAACGTACAATTCCGGGTATTTCCTGTAAAACACGCTCGTACCGAAGAAATCAAGCAATGCAATCTGCACAATTACATATACCGATATACGCGAATGCAACATGCTGGAGCGGGGGGGGGGAATCCAAATACACAACGAGTGTAAAACCCAAGTACACGTCGAGGGTAGTTTGTGGCTAATTGGAAGGAGGGTGTGGGCACGGGCACTCGGGGTTCAGAATCTTTGCAAAAGTAAGCCCTTCAAAAGAAGTTAGAGGAGATATTACTGCTTAAAAATGTTAACCAGCATTGCGAAAAACTGAAAGAAATAACTGCTATTTTTAATAGAATTTCAAACAGTTTTGCTGTTAACTGTTAAGCTGTTTGTCAGCTTCGCGGCTAACAAACTGTGGTTATTTATTAAGTAAATAAAATTAAAATCGAACTGCGCTGCGCGAACTGTGCATAGGTATTTAAGTCCACGATATTGTACAGATCGCACATAATTACATATAGTATAATGCAATTGCGGCATACATTTACCTCATACTCTTCTAAAACAGACCATGCTCCAAAAGGCGATTCAACCAGGCACTCATTAAAATTTATTGTTTTTATAAATTTTTGGCAGTTCTACAGATGTGCGTTGGCTTCACGCGAAAATTCACCTTTTTCTGGAAACGTTTTACATGATATATCGTCTGTAGCTATGCTTCCGTATAAAGTGAATGGGTGATGGTCGTTCAAAGTCGTCACCATTTATTACAAATTCCATAAACCGATTTCCTTCGGGTTTTTTTTCTGTACCCAGTTCAGCACAGCGTACGTAATTTGTACGTACTACGTAGTACTTGAAATTTTAAAAAATCTCAATCCGTTTATTTGCAATTGCGTCGTTAAAAAGACAGTGGTGAGCACTTTAGCCAAGCCACTGCACTACACCATGATTATTGCAGTTACCGCCACAGATGTGCAGCCTGCGCAAAATAATGCAGGTTTATAATTTATTTATAATAATTTTGATCAGTTTATCTGTTGAAAATTTTTCGTCAGGTTAATCCACTTTCATTGTGCGCATTTGTCACTTGCACAAGGACAACACAGCCGCACGTGTTTGGCGATACTGCAGTAATGATGGTGCAGTGCAGTGGCTCAGGTAGCGTGGCTAATGTGTTTCGTCACTGTTTTTTTAACGACGCAACTGCAAGTAAACGGATTAAGATTTTTTACAATTAAAAACTTCAGGTAATACGTATAGATTACGTTACACTGAATTGCGTAAAGGAAGAAACCGAAAGGAAATCGGTTGTAAAATTTGTAATGAATGGCGGCCACTTTGAACAACCATCACCCATTCACTTACTATATACAGGTGGGCCATTTGAGCGACCGTACGGGTACCCGAGTAAAACAACTTACAAAAAGAAACGTTAGATAAACGTTAGGAAACGGCTAAAATTGACACACATCCGTTCAGCTAGCGGTAGTCACACGTTAAACTAACGTTTTTCCTACAAGCTGTTTTACTCGGGGTAGTTATTTACTGTATTATTGTATTCGGTGCTCCAAATATTTTTTTCTTAGATTTCGAAGTTGATACACTCCTGATGTTGACTCCCTCCATCCGTGATCTGACGCCTTCGCTCCTAAGCGACATATTGTCGCATCTGGACTTGCATTCACGAATGAAAGCCAAACGGTACGAGATTATTGTTCTGCTGTCGCGTATAAAACTATTGTACTGTACGTACTTATTGCTGCTGGAGGCAGCTATCACTATGTTACCACCAGCTGTTTTGAAATACCTACTCGTAATTATTTTAGAAAGTAATTTCTCTGATAACAGCTGTTGCAGTTTCCCGTAGACTTTAGTGTCCGTATGTACTAAAGTCTACGGGAGCCCAGCATGAAGCCAGTAAGTAGTCAGTAAACGTAAACATAGAAAGAATGGTTTACAAATTCATAGAGTTGTCTACAGACTACAGAGCAGTGGCGCGTCTAGAACTTTTTTCACGGGTGGGCCAGCGAACCCTTTGTGAAATATTTTATAACGTTAAGCGATTTGTATCTGTTTTTGCCTTTTCAATTGGAGTTGGATTAAAAAATCCCGTTAATAAAGGTAGTTTAGGTTCTGGATTCATCTCATTGCAAACCTTAGGCGAACGTATCTCGCGCTTTAGCGGGCGGTGTTACCGGCTCGAATTTATATTGGCAGACATTTTTCACGCGAAGCGCGAAGCTAACGAACGATTTCGCTGAGAAAATCGCTAGAAATTCTATTAAAAATAGAAGAAATAATTCAAATTTTCTTGTAGCGAAAACTAAAGAACAAGAAAGGCTGCATCATGTACAAAGTTTATAGAAAATGTCAATTTTCGCGCGAAGCGCGTAGCCGGCCCTCGTTTTTGCTGTGTGATTTACTAAAAATTTATAAAAAATAGTTTAGGTATTAATTACGATTTTCTTGCGCGAGCACTTTTCGGAGCTTGGTTTAACTGAATAAATTAGTAAGGGGCACACATGCCTGTAATGTGGAATATGAGGTGCTCAGTGCTTGTATTCCGAGCAGGGACTTCAAGTTCATTTACATATTAATTTTATGTACGGGTACGGTACAAAGCTATGCACTTCCGCGCGGAGCGCGAAGCTGACACTCGGTTTTACTGCAAGAATAGAAAATTAGAAATTCAACCAAACATAGTAATTTTCTGGCTTCTTTTTCAAATCCACAAAAAGCTGGGATTATATACGACTAAAACATAAGAGGCGAAAAAGTGGGGAACGGTGTGCCTATATACTATGTATAACGTCGTTGGCAGGCGGCTTGCTACTTACCGGCTGCTGCGGTCATCTTTCATCGGCTATAAGCGTTACTGTACATTTTTTGCACTTTCATATATCCCTCATTGTCACAGTTAAGTGCTTTTGCTGACACGATTTACAGTGTATTCTCAAGCTTTGTAGCTACCACGAATCTTCTACCAAGGGGGGAGCACGTTGGAAAACCGGAAATATATGTGTAAAATTTTCAAAGGGGGCACCGTTGTGCATTTTGAAGTACCCGAATCTGTAGTTAATGGGGGGGCTTTGGCCCCGGGAGCCCCCCCTTAAACGCGCCACTGCTACAGAGATGTTGTTTCGGCTGATGGCATTAATAACTACAAGCCCAACCTCGGCCTCCGGCCTCGGTCGGGAAAATGTAGAAATGAATTTGGATTATTGGTTTATTATTATAATTGTTAATAATGATTATAGAATTGTTAATTAGCAAACTTTACGGTAATATGATGAACTACTACCTCTCAGTCTAATCGGCGAAAATCCTTGCCCCTTTGTTTGACCGGCGAAAATCCTTACTCTTGTGTCTGACCGGCGAAAACTCCTACCCCTCTGTCTAACCGGCGAAAATCCCTGTCCCTTTGTCTAACCGGCGGAAATTCCTACCCCTCTGTCTATCCGGCGAAAATCCTTACCCTTGTGTCTGACCGGCAAAACCCCTACTTCTCTGTTTTACCGGGGAAAACCTCTACCCATCTGTCTAACCGGCGAAAATCCCTGCCCCTGTGCTTGACCGGCGAAAATTCCTACCCTCTGTCTAACCGGCGAAAATCCCTGCCCCCGTGCTTACCGTCGAAAACCCCTCCCCCTTTTTCTAGCCGGCGAAAATCCTTAACTCTGTTCAACCGGCCAAAATTCTGTGCTGCTCGGTCCGCATGCTAAACTTTCTCTTGCCGAATTGACTTTATTTTAAAAAGCCATCAGAATGCCGAAATTTCCGTCTGAAACAATGAGTAAGTGCGTCCACTTGCTAAAATGTTTTTAATTTGACATGTATTTTGCATTTGGTGATCACGCGTGCTAACTGAGCAATCGGTTTTCGAGGCAATTAGTATTATAAATACTGATTTTCATTATTATCAGTATTATTATTCATTATTATTATAGTTTGTTTATTTCTAATAGTAGATATATTATTCGTTATTAATTCTAAGTATTACTTTTTTGTTTGCAATACTGAGCACAGAGCTTTGTTTTGTATTAAAGGAAAAACATTTCTGCTAAAAGAATTAGTTAATAAAATTATCGATAGAACTATTATCTAGTTTACGCCTTTACGGAATCATATAAGCAACAACGGTATAACGAAAGTCCAGCCTGATGCCGCGAGTGAATGTCCGCATAATGAAATTTATTACATGTGCTGAAATGACTTCATGGAGAAATGGAAGAGCACCGAAACACCACTCTTCGATTAATCAGTAGAGTGCCAGCGCTTGCAATTTTTTGTTATTTTATTTTGATGGCTATTGCATATAAAACCACATAACAAATAACCTAAGCATTTTTGTGCAAAACTCTGTTTCCGGCTTCGCTTCGGTCTAATAGTGCTAGCCAAAAGCGGTGCACTTCCCTAGTAGTTTATACGTAATCCGTTGCCGTACAGTTATTTGCGCTATACTGGTTCCCTTTCCTCTTTCCGCCAAAGAAATCATACTGCATTATCGCTCTGCCAATTACGAAATTTCGACAAACAGGAGTATTAAATTTTACTGATTACTGATGTACCGCAGTTTTTATGTCCCAGTTTGCCACGCTGTGTCAGCAGTTTCCGTTCGAAAATATACGCATTTCCGCCAATCCACATTATCCACTAATAAATACTTTCTGATGAGCCAATCAGCGAAATTCGTTTTGGTCATGTTTCGTAATTCGAAGGAAAAGAAGATCGAAAAACTAAAGTTGTAGGGACAAACTACAGGATTTTAGCCGTTTTTTAAGCTATCGAACGAAATTCTGCGCCGGACAGTGTTGGAGGAAAGGGAGAAAAAGAAACGACGGAGTTAGGATTGTATATATAATAATAATATATATAATAAAAGCGGAAAAGTGTAATGAGTTTGACTGACTGTTCGTTATTTTTCATATAGGGTGTGTGCCTTGTGGCATTTGCTGCTGAGCAGCTCTAGAATGATGGAACACATCAGCATTTCTTTCGAAAGTTGCTGGGAGATCAAGGCGGACAGCGATAATTGTTTTAAATTGGCTTCTATGCTCAGCCGCTCAATCAGCGCAACGACAAGAAGTATCACTGTGTTGAAAGTTTTCCCGCCACACAACGCTTCATTTTTGGGTGCAATGTTGGATGCCATGAAAATTGAGCTGCCTTTGCTTGTGTTCAAAGACCACACTAACGTCAAACCATTAAGATTTCTCAGAGAAAAGCAATCGTTTCTAAAGCATGGGATAGCGGTTAATCTGGTTTTATACAAGCGCTTTTGTAAATTCGTTGTGTTGCAAAATTGGACAGTAACAGATCTTTTCGGTCAACAAATGTACGACATCTTTGTGGAGCCTACCTGTTACGAGTCTTGCTCCGGCGTAACTTCTTCCCTGCCAGCGCATGAGCGGAGCTGCATGATGGCTCTCACACGCCAGTCACACAAACTGGCCATTGATGAACTACAAATCTCCATTCCGAAACTTTTTTTGCCCTGCAGTGAAAAGGAAATGCACATGACTAGTCGTTTTATGTGTGCTTTGAACGACAACTTTCCGCCGGTCACGGAGGATATGCTAGCAAAGGTCACGGCTATCCATGCGCGCTGGCTGCGCAACCTGACTTATCCCAAGGACTGGCAGAGCATTCGCAATTACCTGTTACTGTAAGTGATAACATACATAGTATGCTCTGCCAAAAATACGATGGCATGTTATCGTGCGAATGTTTTGCTTTCTAAATAGCTTCTAAATTGGCAATTCGTATTTTTCCGGCTGTTGCAACCTTCGAAAGCAGACATGCAAGGTGCTGATTTCTTCTGGGTGTGCAACGATATAAACAATAACGGTCTGCTTAGTGCCTATATTTAATTAAGTACCGTACTGTTACTGTAGTACTATTGTACTAACAGGGTTCGACGCACCGCTTAAGAGCTTAGCTGGGGCCTGGGCGGTTGCATGGGCTCAAAGCCTCAGAGCATCGCCAGGCCTGCCGCCTACGTTGTGGGTCACATGGTCAGTCGGATAGAATGTCATCTGAACGCTTCGATCCTCAGCGGCAGGCTTGCCGCTTTGTTGTAGCACCTTTTTCAGATTGTCCAAACAATACCAGCAAGCTTGCTTCACGAATTATTAGCTTCTCCGGTTTTGCCTTACCTCTACAATGGACTTCAAAATTTTGTTACACTCACAAAACGCGCAACCGCCAGCTATTTACCTGTACTCAATCAGCCAAATTCCGGGCTGGCCATCGGCCTGTTGAGTTCAAACACTTACCTCACGCATTTCCCCACAAAACCATCCACCAATATCTCAAACGAAGAAAAATTTTTATGAATTTTGATACCAAACAAGTTAGCTTTATGGGATCTGACAGAAAATCGACGCATCTAAAGTTTCTCGTAGACAAAGCATAGCATTTGAATCCACGGTTTGGTTTCAGTTTTCACACAGAAAACGTATGCTCTGTCTACGAGAAACTTTATGCGTCGGTTTTCTGTCAGATCATAAAAACTAACTTGTTTCGTATCAAAATTCATAAATTCTTTTCTCTTTCGTTTGAGATATCGGTGGATGGTTTTCGTTGGAAAATGCGCAAACAGCAAGTGTTCAATTACTGCGCGTTTCCAGTTTATTGGTCATTTGGTCTTGGCCATTTATTTCTATTGGTCATTCGGTCCCGGACCGAATGTAACAAAATTTTGAAGTCCATTGTATACTTGCTCAGCATTGTCGATTTTGTTCCCTCGCCTGCCGCGCACTAGTTCTGTTTCATTATTTAGCTCGTCAACGATAAAATGAACGGGTTGTTTTTGTTGCTGGAGCGAAGCGAGGTGCCCGGTGCATCCGTGTTGGCGCACTTTGCTTGCACTTCCGGTCAGCATCTTGCGTGACCCGAAAACCATCGTACCGCTTCGCGAATCTACTGTTGCGAGTCAGTGATGTCCTTTATTGAACCTTGCTTCGATGCACAGATGACGCGGGCTTGATTACGAAAATTAGTTACGTTTCGTTAATTTGCGGAGGAAAATCGAGGTTAGCAGTAAACACGTTCGCGAGGTAGACACATACATTAAGGTAACCATTCTTTCCGCGATTCCAGTAAGATCATATAGTTTAAAAATCGACAGCAGCGTCCAATGACCCATCGGACACTGCCAGTACTAACTACTATTGATTCTGATCATCTAAACCCAGCTCAGCAACTGCTTATATTTTAACTGAAAGCGAATCTACAGATACTACGTAGTACGTACTGTGTGTCGTATTGTTCAGGTTCAGTGGGTTTAACTCCGATGGAAGGCCAAAAGTATGGGATGAGGTCGATCTGAGGGTTGTTGATGTATCGGCATGGAGCAAAATGGCTATATTCGGAATCAACGAAGTGTTCCGAGTGTGAAGGCATAGAACTGCGTCCACGCTGACCTTTTATGGCAAGACTTTTCTGGTATATCAAGAGATCGTGCACATTAACTCTGAACCTCGAGAGAAGGATCTCTGTAATCTGTTTAAGGACCGGAGCTGCTCTGCCATCTACTCTAGTGTCCTAAGAATCATCAAGGAGAGGTTCACCTGTTATTTTCTCGTCCTTTTTTCCACTGTTTGCAACTGTTTGTTTGTTCATGGCTTATGCTGCATAAATGTTCCTATGTTTTGTATGATCAGTTAGCAAATCTGTCTGGATATTTTGTCTCGTAAGGCATAATAGCAATCTGGAGATACTTACTACGTACTACCTAGTTATATTGAGCAATGGTCCTTGCAAGGAATACAGTATGTTGTGTGTTTATGCAATAATAACAATCAAGGTGGTACTTGCTGTTAAGTACAGTTCTGTACTCGTATACGAATTCATTATTGAGCCCGTTTGACCGGCACTCGTTCGTACATCCTATTTCCGGTATGCAAACATACCGGAAAAAGGATATGCGCAATCCACAGCTACTTACCTGCGATGCCAATGATAACCGATGTCGCTTAAATAACAATCTGCACAAAGGCCAGTTTCCTGATGGCCGTCGGTATTGTGGGATAGATTTTTGGGGCGTTGTGCAAACAAAACGGATTTTATGGGAACTACAGAGGGTGTTCACGCCAAGTGCGGCCACTAACGAAAATAATTCCTATTAAATTTCCATAACAGAGTTATTTGTCGCAAGCTATTGTTATATTTAATCTGAAGTCTGCCTTACCATTCGACGTTTGTCAGAATGTTTGAAAAAGAAAACTGGCTCTAAAAACAGAATTTTAAATGAGGTACCGTGATTTATCGCTGTAACATTTTTTTACATACTTTTCGATTTGCCAGATTTCGAAGCATTCGAAATGTATAGGTTGTTACTTTATTCGATAAGCCATGAGAATATCTTAACAAGAAATTTGAAAGAAAGAAGATTAAAACATCAGCAAGAGGAAAAAACTCGAAAACAAAAAAATGAAAAAAACCTAGAAAACTTGGAGCGAGAGACGTTTGGGTTCGAAATTCAATGCCGCTGTATCAACCCAGCACTTTTCTTTTCTCTTACTACTAATACCATTGCAAGGTCTGTTACATAAGATGTGCTCAAGTCATTTTCTCGGAAAGACCTCCTAGACTTGTATCCAGTGAAGAAAGGAAGGGAAACTCTCCTTCAGGACACCCCTCGGGCTTATACAGTCAAAGAACTAACCCAGTAGCTCAAATCTCAACGAATCGGATATAAACTAAAGAACAAGAGTCTGGACTATTCTTTAAAAATTACTTTAAACCATTCCGTAGATTACAGAATTTTAGAGTGAATTTTATGACGAAATGGTATGCCGTAGTTTTCCGATTTGTTCCGTGATTCCCGCAGACCCTGTTTTACTTTTGAAATTCCAGTGATTTTTAAAACAGTTTGCAGTTGACGAAAACTGGATGGATTGATAGCTGATAAAAAGTGCTTTCAGATATTTAAGTTGTTAAATTAAAAACTCTGCGGACGAGCGTGAAATAAATTTACGAAAAAGTGGCCGCACTTGACGTGAACACCCTCTGTGTATACTGTTTACTACAAGTATTTACTGTCCAACTGCAGCACATCAGACGGACCATAGCACTGGGCACTGCTGAGAGATGTGATCCCTGAGAATGCCAAGAGCACTCTTAATCAACCACTGTGCCGAGGAAGAAATCTAACGAATATAATGGCAATACTCGAACAGAGACCTGGTGGTTAAACTAGTGGATCTAAAGTTATAAATTCCTGGATAAACTTTCTCATTAAATACCACACTTGTAATTACGTCCTCCAAAAGCATGTGCGGCAGATTCTTGGCGCAACAGTAGGCCAACAGTTGGAGCGGCATTGGCCATGTGTTGCTCAATGCTCCCGTCATGAACGATTACTACCACAGCGGCGGTTAGAATGAAATCATTAGTCGACCGAAGCGAAGCGAAGGTCCTCTATGTTCAGGGAAACTGGAATTTTGTCTGTCCGTCGGTCACGCACTAATTTGTCCGTCGGTCACATAAAAATAATAAAATTAAAAATAAAATAAATAAAAATTAAATGTATTACAAAAATTATCGACCGGAGCGCAGCGAAGGTCCTCTAATTCATTCAGCAAAAATGAAAAAGTGTCTGTCTGTCACGCTGTCTGTCTGTCCCAAAAGAATCCCGATGACGTCATTAATAACTGTAAATGTTGCTATGTTACTGTTAATTGCAAGTTTGAACTTTGAGTACTTCAAACTTCGGGTAAATCTAATGCGTAGATAATTTCAAATATTTCAGATAACACATAATACTTAACTGAAAACCATAATACTTAACCTAAGCTACGCTCCGGTCTACCAATGCACGCTCAAGTGCATTTTTCCTAGTAATATTTATTGTACGAATTTGAGTATTATAGAAAACATTCAGTAAGACCTATAAGTACAACAATACGGCGCTTTTGTCTGTCTGTCGGTCATACAGTAATATTCCCGTTCGTCTCGCACTAAACCACTGAATATCCAGAACGTAATACAAGCCCGTTTTCAAACCTGTAGACAGCTGTAAGCGCGACGCAGTGAATAGCGCACAGTAAGGCTAGATTTTATCTACTCTACACTGGATGCATTGAATGCACTGGCTCAAGCTCACGTTCCTCAAATATCCCGCTTATAGCGGTCTACAGGTTTGAAAACGGGCTTGTATTTTGGGTATCATCATGAGTTGTTGTTATAGATACGTATTAGCAGTACTTCATAGAGTAAAAATCAATAATAAGGTCACGTGAAGAATCAATAATAAGAAGCGTGAAGGTCACGGTCACGCTTACTGGCATTACTGACTATATCGGTTCTTAAATTTTTTTTTAAAAAGGAAAAAAGGTACACAAGCGAAAACGGTAGGGTTAACAGGGAAGTGAACAAAGAGAAGAAGACAGAATGATTCTGCAGGTGTGATTGTGACTTCCGCCCCCCATCAATAATAAAAATATGAATCATAGTAATATCGGTACATGTATTTAGACGTTAACTCAGACGGGAAACGTATGAATCACAATCACCCTTAAATCAGTGTTTTTTTTGTCTAGAAAAAGACAAAATTTGTCCTGGAAGTTTTTGTCGTAATCCGACATAACGTAATAATTTTGTCGGTACAAATTGTGCCCTCCCTGCCCCCAATCGTTTATGAAATTAATTGCGGTTGTATTCTAAATATTATGTTATCCGTTATATGTATTCTGTAGTACGATACTAGCAATCTTAATGCGCTTGTGCGGATTCATTTGTTTCGGCGCTTTTCTTAATTATTCAGCAGGGCGATCTGGATTCGGTTGTTGTGGTGTATGTATAAATGTGGCAATAGTTTTCGGCTGATACAGAAATGACACTGGCATCGAACAGTTAATTAATCACAGTTTGGGCAAAATGGCATTCATCCTTTCCTGGAAAAAGAACTTTTTTGCTCACTGCATTCTGCAGACAGCTGCCGGTTTCTGCGTGGATGGTTTGTACAAACCATCTACTCCAATTTGGCTTGATTGGCATTAAAATTTTAACGTGCGGCTTGATTGTGAAGCAATCAGGGATTCATAACAGTGCAATACGCACAATAACCGTGCAACAATTCACCAAAGAAAAGAAATACGAGCATCGTAGGCAGGCATCAGTTCGTAATAAAATGCGGCTGCACTATTCAGACGATTTCAAAATCTTTGCCTAAAGACGCAATGACACAGCCTGATGCTCCCGGTTGTTATCTCAATAAATTAAATAGTTCCATGTGAGCTGCCGCCGATAATTATTTATTTGGAAACGTAAAACCAGTGAAATCAAGATTTAGTGGTGCAGTGCGGTATGAAGCTTGCGATCGAGTGAAATATCAAGTTTTGAGTTTTCATCACACTGACAATTTTTGCCGCGCGCAATTGAACTGCATGGTGCAGTCAGCCGTTGCGACGCGACTCCGTGTGAAATCCTGATAAGAGACTTTTTTGATAACAGTAATATTATCATGTACGCGACCGTGCGCGTCTGCTGTGGGAGGTCAGCCATTAACTGTTTAATGTCTTCTGTGAATTAATCATATAATTAATGAATAAAAATAGGAAAAATGAAAATAAACAAAGTATTACAGTACTTCGGCGGTTTTCTTTATATGCTGCAAGTGCACTGTTAGTGTGTACATACATACTATATATAGTACACATATAGCCATATACTATTAATACTAATATAGGTACATATGTTAAGTATCAATATATCGAGCTGTATTTAGTTAAACGAGTTTGACTTTGCCGCCGGTATACCAGGTATTTAGGCTTTTGAAATAATTCAGTTTTGTACTTATCACAAATTATAAACATGCAGTTGTTTTAGAATTTAGCAGTATTTACTGTAGATAAAAGCGGACCGTTTCGGTTTTGTACTTACCATGATTAGAAATCGGTTTAATTTACAGATACAGGCCATTAAGTTTTTCAAGTAATTAACGTAATCGGTTAGTATTTCATAGCGCGTGTGAAAAATTACACATGCCGACTTTCATTTACGGTATCTACTCATTTTTTAGCTGCTTCCAAAATACAGAAGTTCGAAAGCCATACCTCGGTTATTGTGCGTATTCTCTGTACGTAGTCTACACAGATCGCTCTCTAGATCCGTGAAGGTGATTAATGTAATATTTATGAAGTGCTACCAACATATATCTATATACATAAAATTATGTAGTATACGTATATGCAGATGCATAATGGTGCATACTGCGCCTTATGCATAATTACTGGTTAGAGGCAGGCTTCATGACTAATTATTAATAACCAAAAAAACGAAGAAAAATCTATCTTTTAACTTTTAAGGTACATCAAGATTTATAGAGGTTTTCTGCGTATAGTGTTTTACATTGGCTTATCCATATACTATTTAATAGAGTAGCGTTCTCGTAATGCGGTCGGAACTCGGAAGCCCCGCAACGCATTGTAATTACCGTACGTACTTGCGCAATCGAACGCGCACAATGGGGAGACCGGAAAGTGCACCGGCTGATCACCTTATTTTCACAGTTTTTCATGATGACGATGCATGAGCGCGTATCAACTTCAGCATTTTCGTTTTTCACTGATTAGAATGAAGAAAAAAATATTTAGTGTAGAACATAACAATATTATATAAAGTGTTTTCAAAACCTTAGACCAGTAAAAGCTTTGGCCAGTAAAAATGCTGATTTATGTGTTTTAACCAGATGCCGACAGGTGCTTGGCAGTTGGCAGCTGAAGTTAGGTTTAGTATTTTCGAACAAAATTTGCCGAACCACGACGCTACTCGTTACGAACGAGATAAAGTTATGACTGCCTAGGCGTTATCAGTCAGCGCTGTAAGCGGTTTGCATGAACCGACATGCACTCCTGTGAATCATATGCGGTTATCTGTGAGCCACTCATCCGAAACATATGAAACTGTCTTTCCATATAAATGTTGTTAACAGGGGCCAGTCCAAACTAACGACGAAGTACAAAAATTCTCGAAGTCACAACGAAAATGCTTTAAGGGAAGTGGCCCGGTACATGGTACCAGATTCGTGTGCATGCACTTTCACTTTCGAGCACTCCCAAACACTTCCTTCATCTTTGCTTTGTTTTATGACATTGAAAATGCCAGTAGCAAAAATACGGGCGCAGTACAGTGGTTGCAGCTGGCAGTTCGGCAAAAGGCAATTCAGTCCTTATATCAAGAATTATCCCCGTAAAATCGTGAATTATCCCCCCCCCCCTGCTGTCCTGTCATCCTTCATCCGTTTTGGTACTTAGTTCGTCTTAGTTCGTGCTTGTACTGCGATACCCGTATGTTGGTAATTAAATATAGGGATTGTATAGGGATGGGAAAGCATGGAAAGCAGCTGTGTTTGTATAGGAAAAGCAGGGCAACGCTTAAAGAAACATCTGGACCGATAAAGTTTTGTGGCGTTGGGATATGTGCGAGATATATGTAGTTAGGAACCCCGAACACGGAACGTCTCCGTCAGGCTCGATGCCCGAAGTGCTAATGGCGGAATTCGATAAGTACTCATGGTCAGATCCTACTTTCCCAAATAACTCTGTTCCGATATCTCCAGTCACAACAAAATGGTTGGACAAGTTCGAAAACTGCACAAGAACACATTTCCCGCTCACATTAGCCTGGGCAATAACCATACACAAAGGTCAAGGTAATGAGGTCAAGGCGGTAATCCCACACTGGCAAGCGGGAAATCCAACCGGTTTTAATAATGTTGGCTTTTCACGCGTGAAAACATGGAGCGAAAACAGACGGCAATAGTAAAGCCGTAAGGTGGTGAGAATAGCCAAAACGCGGTGAAAGGTGGTGACATTACAAAGGTGGTGTCAGGGTGGTGAAAATAGCTATTTGCTAATATTTAATACAATATATACCTAATCAACATAACATTATGTATTTATCAACATTAACCAACATAAAATAACATCAATTTTTTAATGTTTAAATTTGAACTGTGATGTAGTGTGCCTGCGCTTGCAATTTTTTGTTATTTTATTTTTGCATATAAAACCACATAACAAATAACCTAAGCATTTTTGTGCAAAACTCTGTTTCCGGCTTCGCTTCGGTCTAATAGTGCTAGCCAAAAGCGGTGCACTTCCCTAGTTTATTAGCACCATCCTCCAACTCATCGCTGACACGATTACTGAAAAGTGAAAACGCTAAAGAAATGTTTAACAGACAGCCAACCTTTTTGCAAATATCACCAAGAATGCGCGAAATCCATAAAACGTTCGACAACAAAAATTAGCAAAAACTTCTAAAACTTACAAATGTTTTTCTTAAACTACAAAACGTTCAAAAACATTATTCTTAATGGCACTTAAAACATTACAAAAAAAATTTAGCACTTGACGGTTACATCTCTTTAAGCCGTTTTTCGGAGATCACCCGCATTACTGTCCGGAATCATTCATCATCCTACGTGGCAGCTCATTCAAGAAATCAATTTCAATTCCTCTTTCTGCATGCATCCTCACAGTGTAATCTTCTGCCAGCCTCTCCTTCTTAAAGGCACTCCAAACCAACTTAACACAGTCACCAAATACATCCAGGAAATCCTTTCCCATCCCATCGACAATTTCGCACAAACAATAGACCGCAGCTCGCCGGTTCAACACTTCCGGGTCGGTCTCCACGGTATGGATCAAGCAGTTCAACATTCCATCCTCGCTGCACTTATCCCAAAGCGAAGTGTTTGGCACACATCTGGCATGGCACTTGCCCGTACATCCGGATCGGCATCGCGTGCCAAAAATAAGAGTGTATTCAGGAGGTTGTCAGCGTACCGGCCGGATGCCGGGCCCAGTTGTTTAACGATGCGTACGAGGCTTTCCGCCAGGAAACCGCAGACCGTGGAGTCAGGAGCGGTGCTTCCGGGATTGCGCTTACTGGCCGCAAAAGAAGCGAGTTCGGATAAAAGAAGAGGAATGAATTCGGATGGGTTAGACAGCGCAATGGCCTCCACGCACTGAATAACGGCCAAGTACACGTAAGATTCGGATTCTTCTTGGAAGACTCGACAGCAGTCTTGAAAAAAAGTTGTGGAATGGGACAAGGCTTCATCGTCACCGGAGATTATTAATCGGCGAAATTGGTGGTATGCACCAGCGCGGAGCGGAAGAAGTGGATCCTTCGTGTACTGCAACAAAGATCAGGTTTAACAAGCATGTACAGCAAGTAACAAAAACAACAAAAACCTTCGTAAGGAAGTACTGTCACAGATACCGGTATTCTACTCACTACTGTACTTGGTGTTTGAACGAAAAGCAGCTCCTGTTAAAAAGTGACATTTACGATCACACGAAGTACAACACGTTCACAAATTGCGGTGATTGTACACATCGCGAATTTTACGGTTTAGACCGCGCTGATTAAATATATCGTCATGTGACCAATGATAAACCGCTGCTTTTTGGCTTTATCTCGCCAACATACGAGTACCTTTATAGCCTGTTGAAACGGTGTCAGATCTGTCCACTCCGACCATGTTGGCACTCCCATGGATAACTTTCACGCCGCAACCAAAAGCTGCATCCCATCATTCAGTTCCTTCCAGGAGATGGATTCACTCAACTCACCCAGTTCCGTTTTCAAATCCTCAATGTTTAAGCGTAAATCAAATATCATCCCCACTGCATACTGATAAACACCTTTGCACTGTGAACCGTTCAGACAGACGATCTTTCCCACCAGTTGAGGCATGAGAATGTACATGGCGAAGGGGATTCCACGGAATTGTTCACCGGCAATTTTAGGGATAAGAGTGCGCATTCTAGCCGGAAAAACCAGAAAGACGTCCCAAAATAATGGACATTCCGCCAAACTTCCTACACAATTATCCTCGGAATCAAGAAGGAATTCAGATAGACTGCGAAACCAAACACCCAGAGACAGCAGCTCCACAAGCTGATAGTGGGTCGGTGGAATGCTGGATAAGATGAGAAAATCCCGACAAGTATCATTCAGACTTTGGGCTACTGTGCTGAATAAGGCAGGAAGTGAAATCGCGGATTTTGCCGATGTCAGTAATTTACTGTCCGCTGTACCTGAAATTGTCATCCATGCGTCAGAAGACTTCTCACTCAGATCGCACATCGCGGTGGTAATTTCTGCAAACGAAACATTATCAATTTTAAAAACAAACTTTTAATAATCCTTTAGCAGCCAGTGTCTACCATGCCGAAACATCACAGCGAAGCGCATTCGAAGAGTAATTGAGAAGCGAGAAAAACCGCAAAAGAATAATCCACTCAATTGCGTATAGTTTTTCACACTCTACATTACACGTTTCATTCGGCAACAGACAGTTTGTCTGCGCGCATAGAATAAAATAAGCTAAAATTACTCGAAATTCAAACAGATCACAAAAATTGCTTATTTGTTACTTATTTTCAGAATTTTTGGTGACATACCAGTTTCAGATAAATATTTCTCGCCCGATTGAATCGACAAACTCCTGAATAATACTGCTGCTCCATTTTTATAACTTTCCACCAGCTTCTTTTCCCGCAGTTCAGGTTTTACATGGCGCAATATGAAAGAGATGAGCTCAACTATGGCATCCTTAACACTGAGTTTCGTCGACAATCCACTCTGGAATGCCAAGAAGGACAAACCGTCAAGAATACAGGTGTACATTTCAATTACATTCTCCGTCAGCGGTGATGCACCATCGGCGAGTAATCGACGCAGAAACAGCAGCTCATCGCTGAAGATATCTTTATCCATCAATAACAAGGCATCTCTGACAGCAAAAACCGAAAAATCTGCCGATTCATGACCAAGATTCTCTGAAATCGAAGCCAAGGACAGAAAAACGTGCTCATCAAATAATTTTCGAGATTCCATTGGCCATGGATTATCGTGCATCATAAAGGCGAACGCTTCCAGCGTCGTACGACAAATGGATAAACTGGGGTAATTTGCCGATATGGTCCTGGAAAGATGTATTAGTTATGGGATTATTAAACGGTGCCAGTTGGATGAATTGGCGCGGAATTCAGGAGGCACAGCAGTTAATAAGCGGCTCAATCGCCCAGACGTGTTGAGCAGCTCCAACTCCATCCGGCTAATTCCTAAATCAAAAAATCATTGATATTAAAAGTCTTCCAACTTCTTATATATAGAACGTATTCGTACGCATATAGAACCTATTCGTATTTACTTATTTTCAACTACAACATGCGGAAATTTCAATAACCGCAAGGTCCGCAACACTGTAACAGCAACAAATTAACAAAAGTTGGTAAAAATTACATTAAAGTTGATTCAACTACTGCAATGCAAAGATAATTATTTATCATGGTAATACAGACACATGTTTCGCCTTATTATGTGATTGTGAATGCTCGCAAACACTCGATTGAAAACAGCGATACAAACAGCGAGAGAAGAAGACGGAAAACAAAAAGAAAACAATATTATGTGCAAAAATTTCCGGAAAACTTTCAAAAAAAAGCAAAACAGGCGCATTACTCTGTCAAAGCAAAAATATGCTTTTTAGTGCTATACACCGTTGCATGTTATTGCTTACCGGAATGCACCGCATTGAGCACAGCTTGAACGCCGTCCGTTTCTCCAAGAATTCGTGTGATCACTTCGGATAAAACCACGGAAAATTTCCCTTCGCAGTAACTTTCCCCGATTCCGCACTCTCCTGCACACCAGCGGATAGTTTTGACAAAAGAAAAGCGGCCGCAGCTAGTTTCTCCAATGCAAAATATCTTAAAAACTGTCAAAAGCTTTCAACGTTGCGCAGGCGCGGAATTCTGGTGCCTGAAGCGCTCCGCTCTTTATCCAGCTGCAGATATAACGCTACGTATAAAGGCAATGCGTTCTCGATGGCCGAACACAATACAGGATTATTAAGCCATTTTGTAATAATCTCCCAGTCAGATTCCAAAGCAGCCGTGTTCGATTCCGGTGAAGATTGGTTGGTCAGCGATGCGAAGTTGTGGATACGACTCAACGCAGTTACAATATGTCACTACTCCGATCTCCGTGCACAAGCACAACCAGGCACAACGAGCCATAAGTTTTAGCCAGCTTATGATCTTATCCACTAGTATATGATCGTTCGCCGTTCGTATTACGGACTCCTTACGGACGATAACGAAGCGAAGTCCGCATGAATGTTGCTCATGATTCGTTCGGTCGAATAAATCGGCACAGATGTGTAAAAAATTAAAAAAATTATGAACGAAGAAAAAAACACGGTTATAAATCCAGAAACGATGCAAAGCAGTACTTATAATTTTCGGTACTTTCCCATTTTGAGTGTTTTTCAGTTTTTGTCTCTGTTCGTGATTTTATCTGCTTGGTGCTTACTAACAAATCTTTTGTACCCCAGAAAACTTTTTTATGTTTGAGTAGAAGCGACGACCGCCTGGAACAGCGGTCACCCGTGTCTCATATATCCCATATTGATATGGCGCCTCACTCTCACTTTTACGACCAGTGCCGACTTTATTTTCATTTTTTCGCGAGAAATGAGAAATTTTGGAATAAGAATTTTTGCAGTTTAAACTTTGGGTACCCTTATAGGCACCCCATAAAACCCCCGTTTATTACAGGCACCACTTTTCGCACCCCGTTTATTATAGGCACCCTTTAAGGTTTAATATGATATATGGTAGATTCAGTGCTCTTAGGTAATAATGCAGCCTTATTCAGACAATAATTTAATTCGAATTTTCAATAAGTTTTTACAATAATTTTTCTCTAGCGTCGAGTTCAGTACATCAGGCTTTAAAGCCGATAATAGGACGATTCGGCAAATCAGCCAGCTCAGAGCGAATTAATATCGCCCCTTCTGCTGTGAACAGGAGGTCATCTTTCGCGTTGGTCAGTCATTATTATTCGACATTATGTACGGGTCTGTAGTGTACAGTAGTGTCGTTCACCGTGTCCGTTAACGGGAAGCGAGTACTTAGACATAAGTTTATGAACTGTGACAATGCCGGCACAAATAAAATATAGTGTAAAATCAAAACTGACATCCGGTATCCGGATTTTGGTAATGACAGTTCGGAAAAATCAAAATGCAGGCTGCGTAATGCGCATAAGAAAGTGGTATCACATACCTTTGTATTTACGCCCTGGCCAATTTCTATTCCACCATGAACAACGGCAACATAGCCTCCGTTGCGGAAGATGGCAATCAAACACGAGTAATTAAAACCGTTCCATGCGACACCATAGCGCATTGGCACGATTGTCAATCCCCTCTTCTTCCATCGGTTAGCACTGTTGAATTCCCTAACGGCCTGAACGCGTCTGTCGTATTCAGAACTATCCAACAGCTGTTTGGTAATTTCCTTCAGCGTAGGCGTATGCAGTTTTGAACCATCCAGAACTTTATCACCATCGTTGTAATAATTCAGTTGTTTGACTTCAATCGGAGGTTTCTGCAGATAGTGAGCAACGTGTTCCATAATATGTTCGATGGTATAAATGGCTTCAGTGCTGCCCGGCGCTCGACACCAGGTGTTAGCTGGGATATTCGTCTTGCAGCATTTCATACTGAGCTTCCATGACGGACATTTGTACCATGACAAAAGCAACATAACGACAAATCTTACCGATTTGTATGCTGTTTGGATCCGTTCGGGATTCCACCATCACTTTACTGTCTTCCATAATGGCAACGGAAGTTTTACATAGTAATCCCAATTTGGGAAGAGGACCGCGTTAAGCGGTTCCAGAAACTCTTCCAAATCCAGCCTATTGAATTCACCCAAACCTTCGGCTGGAAAATGTGATCACCGCATAATGTAATGACAAACGCCGTCTCAATGTCTAAGCGAAATATACCGAACGGAACTTTCGATTTATCCGGATGATATTTTGCAATATTGTTCAGAAATGTTACACCGAAATAACAACATGCTGGGATAAGAATCACAAAGGGCATAAACATAAGAATACCGACCATACGGTGCCGGTGTCGACGTGCGCGCGACGTGTTGAGGTTGGCCAGAAGCAGATTAATCGTCGATAGGTACGCTTTCATACGGCCCATGTGTGAAAGGAATATCAATGCGGCGCTCGTATTTTTCAAGGATGTCACGGTACATCTCATTAATGTCAGCGGAGTGATGATTTTGTTAGCGTTTACGTAATATTTTTCCCAATCTTTTCGGATGGCCACCAGATTCACCGCTTCGTGTAGGAATTCTCAACACCTTCCAAGGAAAACAAATTTGATCATGTTATATGAATACTATACATCTCTTGCAGGTTTTCTGCTTCTCCTCTTTGTTCGCTAGGTTTTCTGCTTCCCTCTTTGTTCGCTATGATCTCAGCTCCCACTCATCCAATTTTCTCGCTTTAAAATGTTCTGGGAACCGCTCGGCCTGGCGGGTGATCTAAGACTAATCGTTGTTTGCTATATGCAGAACCTCAAGCCCAGTGGCCACTTGAAAGCTTGTTACCATGGATGCCATAGGGCTAACATGGGCTAGTCTGTTACCACGGTCACAGTACACTGTATGTACTACTCAATTAGCTCAAACATTAAACAGCTTTGGCTTCGCCTCTGCGTTTCTTGCAGTATTTTACTTGATCACTGTGACACTGTCGCACCTTGCGGCCCAATGCACTGAGCTGTATCAACAGTTCGGTCAATCTCGCAGCCCAGTTCACTAAACAGTAATACTATGACGTAATTCTGCGACTACTAGTAACAACAAATCCTAACTCACTTATTTACAGTACCTAGTCGTAAGCCAATATTCATCAGTGCTCAGCTTGTATAATATAACACATTGATCAAAATTGCCCTTTGTGTTATTTAAATAAGTGACATAATTTCTTGCCATTTTAATCAATAAGAAACCTTTTATAAAATCGTCACGCATGACTAGATGTTGCTTCTTTAGTACATGTTTCCAATCACCACTCAGCGATTCTCTCAAAAGCAATCGATTAACACCTTGTTTTCATTACGCTACTTCGTTTTCAATAGATGTACTGTAGCTGCTAGATGAAGTGGCTCCACAGAGTCTGGTATACGGGAAAATGCAGGCCCAATATACACACATTGCTCCGTGCAGATTGTTTTCGATTTCAAACAATTTCCACTCTGATTCTGACGCTCGGTACGTTTTACTGAGTTTTCTTATTCTTAGCAACGCACGATAATTATTGTAAGAGCATAATGTTAGAGGTCTGATAGTTTTCAGTTTATAAATCTGGTTTGTTGTGGTGCCCCTGGCAGGGGCAGGGGCAGGTAATAGTTAGCACTAATATCGAAGAGCAAAGTGCTCGCCACCCAGTGGGAGGAAGGCTCGTGCTCAATGCCCGGCCAGGTGCAGGCAGCGGCCGGATCTAAAAGTGGAGGCACTTCATCTGGCGGCTACAGTATACCGTCAACGACATATTTCGAAAGAGCTTATTGTCGTTCCGTATTTTTACGGTCCTGCATATCTTGTCAGTTTCTAAGTAAAAGCAACATTTTGACATTCAAAGGTCAAGTGGCTTTACATTCAGAAGTCTTTTTTCGTAACATTGCGAGCAGCAAAAACTTGCATTCGATTGCATGTGATTAACCGCAGAAATGACACCGCCAACTGTTAAGGAGTTGAACGATAAGCAGATTGTGGTGGCCATCAACGGAACACAGTACTATATTGGTAGGTGTTACTTATAAATGACTTTATGCAAATTTGACATTATACAGTAATATATGTAATTTTATAGTTCCGACCACCTTTTCGGAAGTCTCGTTAAATGATTTCCTTCGCTCACATCTTTTACTGACGGGAACTAAGGTTATGTGTCGAGAAGGAGGATGCGGTAAATTACTTTCGAAATGTTTTATAGCTGCATATTGCTCGTTCGGATGGGGAAGTATAGTTAAAATTAAAAAAACCCCTCTTTAGGCGTTTGCATTGTAAATGTGGCACATAAAGATCCAGTTGGAGGGAGTCAGTTTGTTGAACGCTCTGTGAACTCAGTAAGTTCGCTTTAACCACTTACAACCTAACAAAAATGGCTACTGATGCCGAGTAGTCGAGTACACTCATGTGATTCCATTGCGCTGGGTGACCTTTACGTACATCTCACCTTCCTTTATCCTGTCAGTTATGGAAACAGCTTTTTTGTTTTTTGTATTGCATAATAAACCATAATGCACTATCTGATGTCCGGACTGCTATTTGGTTTTGAAGAGAGGGTTTTTTATGCGTAGAACTGATATGCATGGTATGCCCTGCATCGATATGCATCGAATGCCCTTTGCAGTGTTTGTGTCCCATCTTGTCATGCGATGGCTGGGAAATCACTACAGTGGAAGGTATTGGCAATTAAAGCAAGCCCCACCTAATCCAGGGCCGATTAACCGAGCACTATGGCACCCAGTGTGGATTTTGCACACCGGGAATGGTCATGAACATGTACAGGTAACAAGCGTGACAGTGCCCTTTTTGTAAAGTAAGTAATCTTATTTTTCTTGCAGTTGCTTTATCTCATAGCCAGTTGCTTTTTATTCCGAAAAATTAATTCCGCATCAGAATGATGTTGCGCTTTGTTTAAATGCTTAAGAATCTCTGGTAAAACTGAGCGTTTGCATTACTCATGTTACGTACAGTCTGTAATTGATATGAAATTGTAACGCTCATCCATAGAAGTATACAAGTAGTACCATCCGGTAGTACGTTTGTTTAACTCATACTAACTTTGCGCATGTGCATTTGCATTTGCACGGATGCGCAAGTGTATATGTGCATTTACCCATATGCGCACATGTATACGTGCATTTGAAATTGCACACATGCGCACACGCGACTCCTGTGCATATGCATTTGCACGCATATATGCCTAACTGGAAATAATTTTTAAAATTGATTTGTATATTGACTGCACAACAAGGTTCGGTTTGGTTGAATGTGCCATCTACGATGGTAACCGTACCTGGACCATGTACCTGGTACAGGTACCGTTGCCATGGCAACGCGTACCTGGTACCAAGTACCAGTCGCATATTCACAGATGTGCATTCGTTTATGAAAATCTAGTTTGTAATGACACACATGTCTGCATTCACCCTGAATGTTGCGGACGAATAGTGTTTTCAATTCTTGTTTACTATACGATCTTAATTAGGCCATTACAACTATTACTCATTTGAATACCGAATGTGAAATGATGCCTTTGTATTTTGCGGATTAACCAGGATTGGCAGCGGATCAAGCTCCGACGATAACTGGTAAGTGGAAATGGGTAAATATTAGATTTGGTTTACTTTCGTTTCACACAGCAGTTCGGTGTAGCGTCAGATTTCATTCTGTTTGTGTGGATATATAATTGATTTTCTTAAAGCTTTATTTGGTTTTGATTTACCAGCCTTAAGTGATACGTGTTGTCAAAGACAACTCCATTTAACATCAAAATGTTTTGTAACGAAAATAAGCTACAATATAAAAAACGGCACACGTAACGAAAGAAAAATGACAAACACCACAATTCCAGTTTCTGCCAACAAAACGTTTTAATGTGTGAAAACCAAGCTCTGTAAAGTTTGAATTCCAAAGCGCGCAGGGTGTCATTGCTATCAAAGGCCAGCAGTGCGTCCCACTGTTTGCAAGTATTTAAGCACCGTAGATCCACCCTTTTTCGTGTCGAAGAGCTCCCGAAATACGGAATGGTCGTTATTGCGGACATCGGGTACCCTCCACATGGTATTCCGGGATCTGCGGTCTGAACAAAGGACTATGAGTTACGTTCTTTGTCGGGGCATCTCGTTTACCTTTGCTGCCTCACCTTTTTGAAGAAACGGAACGCAGGATGTGAGTTACAGCGTCATATTTCGTGTTGTCTGATTCCAGGAATCACTTTGTAGGACTTTGCCTATTCTTTCTGTAATAACTATAGCAGCAAAGACTATAAAAAATACCACGTACAAAATTACTAACAAAACGTTTTTGCATTTCTTCTGGACGCCAACGGCGTCCGGAAGCATATGCTGTAAACCAGCCATGTTATGCACTTTGTGTTGTGTTTGCAGTGCTTAAATAGACTCGTTATTGTTTTTGTGCAGACATGAGCATGAACAGTAAGGGTGTCACTGGCGGAAGCAAGGATTACCAATCGAGAAAACTATGTGCGGAGCCGTGGATAGCTCCTAATTTCAACATCAGCTTACTTATTTTGATGAAGACGCCATTTAAGCACGCAGAACGACACTGAAAACATCATTTTCAAAAATGTATAGTACTGTCAAAGAATATCCGCGCCTCAGTGCGCCCTTTGGGATGTGTGTTTGTGGACCGACCATGTCGGGTAAATCAGAGTTTGTTTTCTCTTTAATTTAGCAACGAGACCGCATGATTGATAAACCACCAACAAAAATTATTTATTGTTACGACGCTTGACAGAGCGGATTCGAAAAGCTACTGTTTGCAAACCCTTTTATAGAATTTATTAAAGGAGTGGACGAATTCTTTGCCTATTTCGAGTCACTAGATGGAAAGGTGCCGACATTAGTTGTTATTGACGATTTGGCGACAGATCTCTGCAAAGACGTGCGGTGTGCCAATCTTTTCATCCGCGGAATCCATCACAAAAACGTTTCGGTTATCGTGCTTCTACAAAATCTATTTAAGCAAGGCAAGGTCATGCGGGACATTACCCTCAATCTAAAGTATCTAGTCCTTTTCAAAAACGTGATAGATGTGAATCAAATAGCATTATTGGCCAGACAGACCGGACTGAAGCAACTGGTTAGTGCTTATAATAAGGTCACGGCACGACCGTACCAACCCTTAATTTTGGACTTGCGACCAACGTGCCCAGAATACTTACGTATCCGCTCCCATATCTTTCCAAACGAGCACATGAGAATTTATTTGGATCGAAATTCGTCACAACTGCCAAAATGTCGGAACGCGTAAAATCATTAGCACCCTTTATCATTACCCTACAGAATTTAAAACCGCGACAACGACGCGTTCTGATGAGTTACATGAGTAAACCGCAGATGAAAGCTTTGGAAGAAATCGCCGTCAACATTGTAAAAAATACTGTCGCATTGACACCATCGCAAATTGATAAATGTAAACGCCATCGCAAAGCATTAAAGCTCATTGCATTGCGACGCTATCCTCTCAAACAAAAACGAATAATCTTACAACAAGGAGGATTTATAGGGGCTATCTTACCGGTTATTGCTGGGGTCCTAATATCGTTGATTGGGAATGGATGAGTACTATATTGTTCCTAGACGCATTATGGAAGAGCGCCTGCATGAGAAAATACAAGTTAACAAAGAACCTCCGGAAGCCAGAGCTGTTGTTTCTTTGGATGAACTTGTTGCCAAAACCTTAAGACGAACCGATATGAACGGGTATGAGAAAGCCGACCTGCTAACAAGCATTCTGGAGCGTTTCTTAGCATTGAAACAAAAAGTCTTACCTGACGAAAACCCTGTGCAATTCTCGGATGAAACCGTATTACAACCGGCACCATTAGGAGTACAACAAGAGCTGGAAAAGTTTCGCAAACACAAAAGAACTGACGAAGATGAAATAGAACAAGTGCCAAAGCAACCGCGCCCACAATTATTTCCATCGACGTTGCCAACCAAAGGGCAAAAAAGGCATCTGGAAGACGATCGGGATGGTCCTATAAAACATGGTCGTGTCGCCTTGTTTCCACCAACACTCCCAGCAAAAGGACGAAAGCGCAAAGCCGCGGACGATCATCCAAATACCCGTAAACAACGCCGTGTACCCTTGATCCATTATCCATTAGAAAAAGGAAAACGGAAAGCGCCAACGAAGATACCGGTCGGAAACTACGTTCCCGAACTGTTCAAAGCGGTAGTGGTCGACATAGGATCCAGTGGATAACCTTACCAAAATGTCCAGTTTTCTTCCTACTGTTTTGCGACTGTGTCGGATATTTAAGATCAGTTGCGTATCCAGTTGTTGCAATAATGGAGAAACTGATGAAAAAGGATCCGAACCCTCGCGATCCCGGCGCTTTTGGGGGCGTCGACAGATTCCAAAGAAGTTTAAAGACCAGGGCCAATAGATGGAAAGCACAGGCGATCGTGCAGGAGATCGATGCCTACACTGTCAACAAGGAATCACGCAAACGCTTCCCGCGCAACCGCATCGTAACAACTAACCTCCGCCAACAGTATCAAGCGGATCTGGGCGATCTAGCCAAGTATTCGAAGGAAAACGATGGATACAAATATTTGCTATTTGTTATTGATTTTCTCCAAGAAACTCAGTATTCAACCTCTGAAAACCAAAACGGGTGCTGATACCAAGGAAGCGCTAACCAAAGCGTTCAATGATTTGGGAGAGCCGGAAAAACTGCAATATGATAAAGGTACAGAGATGTTGAATAGAACGGTGGCCAAGTACTTGAAAGACAAACAAATTCAGTTCTTCACTTCCGAGAACGAAGACATCAAGTGTTCCATGGCGGAGCGCGTTATTCGAACCATCAAAATGCGGATGTTTTGATTGTTTCGGTCCCGCTTATCAACGCGTTATATTGACAAATTGCAGGACCTGGTGTACTCATACAACCATTCCAAACACCGTGCTCATGGTATGCGACCCATTGATGTACGGCAAGACAACTCGTTGGCAGTGTACAAGGCTTTGTACAAGCACAAAAACGTCCAGAAGCCACGGTACAAAGTCGGTGATGCCGTGCGGATTGCAGTGCACAAAACAAAGGTGGAAAAAAGGTATACCTACCGTTTCAAAGAAGAAATCTTCTACATCCATCAAGTCATCCCGCATAGCATTTCGGTCTATCGTTTGAAGGATTACCAAGACGAAGTTATTAAAGGAACGTTTTATGAGCATGAACTGTCACCAGTCTCGAATCCACAGCATAAAGAACACGCAATTGATTTTATTGTTAAGCGGCGCGGAAAGAAAGCATTAGTCCGTTGGTTAGGTTACGGACCCGAGCACGATTCTTGGGAACCACTATCATGTTTGAAGGAGCGCCTTTCTACATAACTTTACCCAGTGATGTCGCCACAGAGGCGGCCAACACGCCATCAAACTGGACTACCAAACTGAAACATCCCATTACCCTAAGGGTAAATTGGAAATGGCCCTGGTGGAACTGCAATACTTAAATTCTTTCTATACTCTACCTACCGAGCAAAAAATTCAACTGGATATTGTCCGCGAATTTCGGGTAAAAAAAGAAGAAGACTTTATTAACAGCGTCAATTACGTTGTGCACCAAGAAATTCTGACGGTTCCTTCCGGAAATTATAAGAATGCCGACCTTTTACTGCAAACCGTCAATAACATAGCTCCTACAATCGGACCGTACATGGTGGATGACGCTGTACATCAGGATCAAAGTGCATTGCCGGATAACAAAGCTTTCAACTTGCAATTTTTAACCTCAACAAACCACCGAG